AAAAAGTGGTGAAATAAATGATTGATTACATGAATATCTGAATAGTATTCCACGCGTTGGCGAGAATTCAAAAGCAGTGAATTCTATGGTCAGAGCATTAGATTTGGTTCTGTATTGAAGTAAATTCGACTTCACTTCACCACATAATGTCAACGTTTGAGATTTGGATTCTCTGAGAGTGAGGCTATCAGTGCACTGGTAGTGAACTTTCTTGCGATTACCGACAGAGTATTTAGAGTCTGGCTCTTTGATGGCCACATCCAATATATCAATTTGTATGACTTGTCCTTCAGAGCCCTTTATATTCCACACACAACTCTCATATGGAGGATAAAATCGAGGATAACTGTAAAAACAATTATTTTAATTAGAAATTAATTACATATATAAAAATTTTGGTCATAACTTTTATTCACAGATTATAAACAAAAATAAATGATAAAAATGTAATTAAATAAATGCCAAACCCAGGAGTGGATACGTATCCATAGCTGTCCGATAGGTTTAAGTTACAAAAGGGATGAAATTTATTTTCTGTAAGGATTGGAAGATTATAATCATTAATAGCGGTTAATATGAATCAACAAAAAAAGGATTGCATTCAAAATTATGATTTATTCACTACACTATTGACAGATGTGGAGAGAGTGTACCCCAGGTTTACAATGTAGTGTATATAACGCTTATAAAATCAAACAAATGAAAAAATATATAAATAATTTTGAATAAGGTTTGGAGTACTGTTCGCAACCATCTGTTGGCCATTCAATGCATTGTATTCTTAATTCGTTTGATTCATAGAAGCAGTCAATGAATTGGTAACAAAAGCACTCAACAATATTCATAATAGTAAGGGCTCTCGTATTGTTAATCAATGCATACAAAAAGCAACAAATATTCAAACATTTTGGCCGAGTATTTGGTGTTTTGGTTTAGAATTTCAATTATGCGAATATCAAAAGCGGTATACATTTTAAATTATAGCTTATATTCAAGTAGTTCTACAATTGAATTGGGCTTTAATTCAAATGATATGATCCACAAAATAATCACTTCTCGTATCTTATAATAAATCTTTTAATAACAAAGTGAATGCAATTTAAAACTAAAATAACAGACCGGATATACAGGTGTATCTGATTATAACAGAGCCGTCCTCTCCAATGCAGCCGTGATTGTGATGTTTGATGAAATTGAAGCTACAATTCGGAGCACTCGAACATCTATTCAAAGCAACATCAAGTATATTGAGGTTTACTTATGTGTTGTCAATACTGTATAACAATTATTCATATTTTAAGGCAATTGTTAATTAAACAAACAGTGAATATTAGATTTGTGGATAACTTTCTTAAAAATGCAAATTAAAATAATTACACGTGAAGTATATGTTGATTATATGCACATCCCTTTAGACACATTTGTATAATCAAAATATAACAATAGAATTGTTGCAAACTAGACCTCATTTGTTATTGAAGACAACTATATAATTATGTTTACTTAACACAAACATAATTGTTATTATTGTTAATATTCTAATGTTGGAGAGAATGCAATAACAAGACGGTAGACCACCCACACGACGCCCCTCTCCCACACTATCTGATAAAGTCTTTGATTTCAATACATTGTCTATAAGTGGGATGCGATATATAGATAATTGAATATCACATTAAAAACACACATTATAACATAATATCTTGAAATATACAATTATGTATATTATATAATTCAATTGCTATAAAGTACTCTATGAGATACTTATATGAAAATATATTATGTTTAATGCAAATATTAAAAAAGTTAAAATTTTAAAATAGACTTTTTATTGCATAATAAAGAAATGTATAAAAATGTCAAAATTTGGAGATTACCTTCGGTTCAATGAGAGTCGTATGTCGTCAGTACAGGCGGATGGCAGTCGAGGAAAGGCATACTTGTTGTTGTTGTCCTCCTCTTCGCTTATTTGAGTTGTGCTTTCAGTGATGACTGTATAGGACTGAGAGCACCGATGCCTCGCAGATGTGGTGAAGAATGCCTCATAAATAGCAATCCTTTCATTTGTCCCACAACTCAGATATATATCACTGGCTTCTGATTTTGGGACACATTTTTCGTGAGATTCTTCCGGAAATGCTATCAATTGAATGAGTTTTTAGATTAATTTACACATCAATTCGTTTAATTAAATTTGATTTTAATTAAAATTCTTCAAAGTTTAAAGCAATTGAAATGAACAAATCGTGCGAAAAAAATAGATTACGTTATCAATGAAATTGTTTAGAAATAGGTTTTGCTAAACGTGTCGATAGAAAGATGCTTTAGATTTGAGATGAATAGTGCTCTCGAGTGATAATAATAATAATAATAATAGGAATAATTGGTGTGAGAAATATAAATATTTATCTAAAAATGGTTTTTATAATTAGTTTTCGTAAGAATAAGTCATTGAAATATGATTTGTATTGATAAGAAAATGATATTGATCAATTACTGCCAATAATAAAAAGTTCAGTGCAATTCAAAGGTGTTCAAAATAAAGAGTAGCTGTGAATCTAGTTGTCAACAATGTGTTACTTTATTATACTAGGACAACCCCCTGAACACCCCAACCCCCCTGGACACCCCCGTTATATAAACAACTTTATTAATTTAAATGAAAACAATGAAAACAATTTATTCTTTTGTATTATGTTATTTTATGTTATGGAATGCATGTGACTCATATTATTTTTAGTTGCTAATATTGTCCATTCGTCAAGATGATTGTTTTTAATGATATCATTCAAAAAATTGTCAAAATTGTCAAAGTTATCACATATTTCTCTTGGCAATTCTATGAAATCTGGAAATTGAACAACACGTTCAGTTCCTTCACCAATACGCAGTAAGTAATCAGAGAAGTCTTTAAATTCAATTATATTTGTTTTTATCTGGTTTAATCTTTCGTTGATTTTTAAATGGCAAACTTTGATTTTATCCCAAAGGTTTGATCTGTTCATACAACTATTGACAATGTCAAATCGCATTCCTTTTGGAATTACAGGTAATATTTGTCTAAAATCCCCTCCAAATAAAATTGGTTTTCCACCAAATGGTACATTTTGTTTATTCATTATGTCTCGAAATGTTCTATCTACACATTCATATATTAATTTGCTNTCACTCTCAGAGAATCCAAATCTCAAACGTTGACATTATGTGGTGAAGTGAAGTCGAATTTACTTCAATACAGAACCAAATCTAATGCTCTGACCATAGAATTCACTGCTTTTGAATTCTCGCCAACGCGTGGAATACTATTCAGATATTCATGTAATCAATCATTTATTTCACCACTTTTTTCCATTTTTCCGCCTCATATTTAAGACATATTTTTGTCAATTATAGCATTTTTTGTGCATTATTTTAATAATATAAAAAGTAATATTACGGTAAATAGGTTTACAATTATTGCAAAACACCTGATATGATATACATTTGCACCAAATAACTAAATTATACATTTTGGTGTTACACAAAAATGTACAATAATTTAAATTCTAGAAATAGCTTGGATTGAGCAAAGTTTTTAGTGATATTTTTAGCGTTTGGTTGTTTAAAAAGTTTGCTTCAAATCTAATCCATCATTCGTTTGGATTTTATGTCTAATTAAACACAAACACTGACAATACATAACAGTAAAATCTATAGAAATTGCAATTCTATATGTATAGAGTCTAACAAATATAGTTTTTGGTTGTTTTATGCAATCATTTGTGTATTGAATTGAAAATATAATTCATAAATTTGTGATTAACAGTACAAAACTGTCCGACACTTCCGGCGCCCAAAAATGGTCACTTAATTATGAGAAACGGAAGTTTTGCATATTATAGCTGTTGTATGGATTATGTGTTCGAAGACACCAAACAAACGGACAAAGTATTGTATTGTCAATATGGAAATCATTGGAATTCTAGTCTTTCTAAATGTGTTCGTAAGTATATTCCCATTCTTTTCACTATTTCTATAAACACAACAATATTTGAAAACAATATTAAAAATCTATTCTTCATAAAAATCTTCAAAGTTTAAGAGTAAACAAAATGTTCAATTTTTTTGTATTGTTTAAATTGTATACTTATGGTTATACTTATAGTTGTGTACAGCCTTTATATACTTGTATTTTAATAAGAATAGTATTCTATATCTATAGTATAGTTAATATTGAAACTGAATCTACTGTTATGTTTGATGTTTCGTTGAGATTGTATTGAATTTCATATCTTAATTGTTTAGAAGGAAAAGAACTATCGATGAGTTCATCGCTTATTCTCTCAAACGAATCAAATGTATTGTTCAGTCGATCCGACAAAGAGTCAGATTCTGATGGCAACTATATTTCAGGTTTGATTCAAATGTTTGTAAATTAATATTTTATTATTAATCACATTATTGTCATTATTTAACAGACATTATGATTCCCATCGTCTTAATGATTGCATTATTGGTCGGAAATGCAGTCATTGTTTGGGTTTTGTTTAGATTAAAAAGACGACAGAAGAGAGACGACAAGACAATTGAATCGACGGTTCCGTTAAATTCTGGGTCGTGTCCGCAGACCAACGTTTAGTCATTAAAACATCTCTTAAATTATTTAACAAATTATTACATTGTTTTTAGATTTGATTTCAATTGTGAGATATTTAACAAAATTGTTGCCAAACTTTTCTCTTAATATAATTAACATATATTTGTCGAACAAAACACTTATTAGTAATAACTTATTGATTGATATAAAGATTGTATTTATTTTGAATCACTCACTCATTGACAGTATTATCAAACGTATTGTTTCGTAAAATATTTGTCAAAATAACATCGAAATACGTAAACAAATGCTACAAATAATGACATAATATTTTTATTAGACGTAAAGATTTTGATTATTTTTTGATCATTTTATTAGAAACCATAAACCGGTATTCAATGAAGACGTTTGTGTTATTCATAACAACAAAACTTATTATTTTTGAATCGAATAAAAAAATAAAATATTTTCAATTAATTAATATTTGTTTTTATTAAATATATTGCAATTATTGTCTGGAAATATATTTAATGAAATGTTAAACATGTTATAATGAATAGATATGTTATTAATTAAATAAGTTTGCAGACAATAGAGAGCAGCGAATGGCAGATAGAATCGGAATTGAGAGACAACGGGTAAAGCTCTGCAATACATTCAATACATGTATTATTCATATAGAATATGATTATTGAAACAATTAAATAAGTTTGCAGACAATAGAGAGCAGCGAATGGCAGATAGAATCGGAATTGAGAGACAACGGGTAAAGCTCTGCAATACATTCAATACATGTATTATTCATATAGAATATGATTATTGAAACAAATGTATTGTCGAGTGAATTATGTCTGCAATTATACATCGAAAAGACGACGACTGCACGACTGCATTGAATTCATCAACAGATCAATACATTTAGTAAATCGATAGTAATTACTAATTGCTATACAATTTCATAGATCTCTGCAATTCATTTCAACTTATAATAGTTTTATTATTGTTGAAACAATTATGCTTTCCTCCCATTTGATGTCCTATTTTTTATTTGCTTAGTTTTTATTTAAACATCAAATCAATATTAAACAACTAATTAATACTAAATTAGTTTTTATTAATTTTGATTAAAATTGATTTATTGGCGAAAATAAGAATATTGTTTGATAATGTTGTTTTAATAATGTATAATAACTGTATATTGCTTTTTTATAACTATTAATGTCACAGTTATATAAGAAATAAAGTTATGTAAACTTTTTGTAAATAAAGTATAAAAACGAGTATTTATTTCAATTGCTTTTATGAATGAAATTCAAGTATAGTTTTCTATATTTTCTACTAATAGTTAATAATTCTTATAATATTTCAAACCCTATGAATATATTTGACAAAACAACGATTGTTAATGATTTGTCAATTCTGATTGATTGTCAAAATATCAATTCTGTAAATAATATTTATAAAAATGTCATTTTCTGGACATTTTAAGAATACAATCTCAAATAAGACTTACAAGAAGTGTATATAATATGTAGAGCGTTGAATCTTCGGCAATAAAAACAACCAAATTTGGGAATTAAAAGTCAAAATCGGGACTTAGATTTTCATTGTATTTTAAGATAACAATTATAATATAAAATCATTTAAGAAATGAATTATATTTGGTATTGAGATTTTGTTTGCGAAACACTTTATTCATTTTGTAAACAATACATGTCAAGACATTTGGACAAATGATATGAATGGTCACAAGTTAAGAGTTTAATGTTCATATAATCCTTTTATTACAAATTATTTTAACTGGTTTTGGTATTGATTTAGCATTTTATTAAGATTTTTGATTTAAAAGCTACAAATAAATTTATTTATTTTAAAAAGTTTGTTTCGGGATTATTTTTTGTAAAAATAGTCTTTTCAGAAGTTTTTACAAAAATATACCAAAATCGGAAATTTTCTCAAATGGTACCAAAATGGTAAAACATCAGGAAAATAAAACTTGTATATTTTTGTGTCTACTGCGACCCCTTAACCTAATGGTATATAATTCCCGATGATTTTGTAAATTATTTTTATTCTGGGATTTCCAAAGATTCGATGCCTTAATAATATGATTGCAATTAATTTAGAAATAATAGACTGAATGGAAAAGTCAATACAACTCGATAGGCAGTAGTCGTGTTGTTTCTCTATTTCTTCGTTAATAGAGTTAATGGGGTTTTGTGTCGGCAATGGTTTCTATGGACGACCAGTCGATTCTCTTTCGCTACACATAATTATATTTTCTTTTAAATGTTATGAAATATTTATATTATAAACACAATTCTGTTTACTTCATAAGA